AAATAAGGAGGTAGAAAATACTTGTGGAAATAATTTAGCACATTATTTTGTCTTCAACCAAGCAATGATAAGAACAACAATCCTAAAAGTCGTTAAATTACTGGGTTCTTTTTTCAACAAGTACTTATTTGTAAGTATTGTGAACAGTTTGAAGAATTTTAAAGTATAGTTCTTGTCCTCACAGAAACTACTAGTAAGAAAACTCAGCATTCCCATTATGCTTTGGAGAACCTCATATAACAACATAGGACAGTTGTATTCTATGAAATACTACAGTAAAGAGTTCAGACAAAAATACCCATGAAGTCCCCAAATGCTAGATGTATTGAGGTAGGGGTAGAATAATGTGGACCTTTGATGAGAAGTTTCTTGAATGAAATGAAGTTGAGCCTGGCCCTGAATATTGTATAAAATTGAGAGAGGAGTGAAGCAGGTATACTAAGTGCTATGAAGACTGTGAGGATGCTGTGTGGTTGGAAGGAAAAGGTTGTGCAGGTAGATTTAAACACTCCTAGGCTTAGGGGTTTGCACTATATTGCACAGCAATGTGGAATTATCAGAAGCTTTAAAGAGATGTTGAAGTATTTTAATATGGTAACAGCAAGGTTATGTACAATGGACTGAAAAAGGACAACCTCAAGTTAGAAGAAAGATTAAGGGGCTGTTATATAAATCCTAGTATGGACAAGGAAAGTGAAATAGGATGGATTGTCCCAACTCCTGGAGGGGAGACAGTCAGTCAGTGAAGCTAACTGCTGTCAGCATTGTTTCTGCAATGGTCAGGATAAAATAGCACCAAAACAAACTGTGTCTGAAGATAAAAGCTCAAAATTCAAGAAGACAAATCTGTTCTCAGGTTATAGAGGCAAAGATGGGGGTGAGAACTAGAGATGAAGTTAAAAGGGAGCCAAGTAAAGGTGAGATTTCATCAAGGGTGAGGGACTCACATGAGTGCAAAGTTAGAGAAGCAAAGTACAATTAGGGTAAGGGTTTTCCTGTAGAATGGTCTAGGTTGCCCAGAGCTCTAGGTGGGAGAAGCTCATCCCATGCTTTATCTCTGAGCTGAGACTGGACAGACACTCACTCCTCCAGCTTTGAAAGGAAGGAAGTCTATTTGCTATCAACAGTAACTTTGTTGGGCATCAACCAGGCACAGCTCTGAGGGCTTTGTGAAAGTTAGATTGGCTCCTGGAGCTTTTTCAGGAATTTGCTTTTCTTTGACAGACTACAATCACCACGAGCTAGTTTTGAACCTCAGAGAACATCACAGAATGAGAACCAATTCAAAAAGGTGCAAAGCTCAATCAGGATTTTTAAAAAGTAGAATAAAATCTAAAGATTAGAATTATGTCATTTTATAGTAGAAAAGATCTTCCTTAGAACTTCTTTATAATTCTCCACTGAAGCTGTAAACTGGATTTTCAAAAATAGCATTCTTTTGTTATACAAGTGCTTTTATACCTTCAGGAACACCTCTATATTTATTTTTAGTGTCTAACTCCTCCTCTTCTTTTTATAGTAGTAGACTGGATTCATAGACAAATGCTGCAGTTTACAAGAGTAACTTACCATGCGCTTAATTTAAAGTTTTCACCATTATTACTTTCATTAAGGCGTAAACAAACTCAGGACATTGATATGTAGAAGATAGTATGTTTTAAAAAAATCTAGATGTACTGTATTGCCAAGAGTACACAAAAGCTGTTTTAAATGATGTCTTTGATCATGCCAGTGGAAGTTTCTAGCCAGTTAATAATATCATTTTACAGTGGTAGCACATGTGTAAGTAGGTGTGAAATATTTCAAGAGTAGAATCTCATCTGTTGTTGCCAGAGGGTAGAGGAAGTCTATAAAGCAAGAGACGTCTGCAGCAGTTGGGAGGAATTTTCAGGAGGCACGGACAAAAGAGAAATTCTATTTCACAGCTGATTATTGACCATGTGTAGAGGACAAGAATATTCTGCTAATCAGATTTCCAGCCTACTGTCAGAAAATGAACAATCATAAACTTAAATGATAAAACAAAAAGATTCATAAAAGATCGAATATATTTTCATTAGCTATATCTAGTTAAGCTTTTTATTAAATCTCTGGAGAGGAAGTAGCAGTAACATCAGGATTAAGGAAACATTAAATGTTATTTTTAAGATATGTATTTATGTTTATAAATTGATAGAATTATATTCTTGCCTCATTATTAATGTAATTGAGATGTGTAGGATTGAGCCAAAACCTTGGATTAATTTGTAGCAGAATTTTCTTCAGAGAGCTGACAGTCTCCTGACTCATTTCCCTCACTGTTTTATCTCAGTAATTTGAGCTATGGGAGTACTCCTAAAACCATATTAAGAGAATCAACTGCATAAATAGTGTCTGAAATGAAATGATATTTTTTCTCTACATAAAAAGACCAAAACAATATCAACCAATCATAACCAGCCTGTTTTCTTTGGAGAATAAGTTTTCTGCTCAAAAAAATAGGTGTACATCCCATCTTGTTCTTATCATAGCTTAAGTAATAAAATGAACTGTGAAAAGAATGTTACATGCCAGTATACCCTGTCCTTATTCTAAACAGCTTTGGAGCACACTTCAGTAACTGTCAGTTTGTCATTCTTTGTATTAAATGTGATTCTTGTGGTTTCTTTGGGGGTATCCAACTACAATATTATTGCCATTAAGTCATTCTTTGTGTCCCCTTGTAGATACCATAGGGGTGACAACAAATGTGCTTCGCCTTTCAATGTAGACCCTCAGACACTACAATGTATGGTAGAAGTTTTGGCTTCTTTTTATTATAAAAATATAGAAGTGAATTGATGAATCATCACCTAGTGTACGAAGCAACATGACATATTTCAATTATACTGATATAATTGACCAACGTAGTAATAAGGTACAGAATTGATGTAAGAAATTTTCTAAAGAAAAAAATATCCTGATCTGGATGTGTCTGTCTTGATGAATTAGCTCATTTAAGGAAATGGCTTCACAAAGGTCAGTGAGTAGCGTGCATGCCCAAGATGACAGAAGTATGTGAATCATTTCTATTAAAATGGAACCTGTCCCCTTAGCCTGCAAGCCTTCACGGCTGATTTTAAATGGGATGAATGAAAGCACTTCTGCCTTTCTGGTTCAGAGGAAAAGCTGCAGAGGGATTGCCACTACCAGGTTGTCTCATTAGAAATTCTCATTTATTGGACAGTTTAGCTACATGCCAGGGTATGTTGGATTCCTGGGGGTTGAGTCACTTGCACTGGTTAATCAAGATGTGCTCTCACAGGAAGTGTCTATGGACACGTTGCATTAGAGAAACGGGAAAAAAAATGACTCAGACTGAAAATTAGTGGTGAATCAAGGGTTATGCAAAGGAGGGTGTCTGCTAGTGAGGGAGAGGCACACAAGGGATATTTAGTTTTCTTGTTTCTGTACCTTATTAAGATTTGTACGAGGGAGGGGCTGGGGATTTAGCTCAGCGGCAAAAGCGCCTGCCTGGCAAGCGCAAGGTCGTGAGTTCGGTTCCCGGTACCGAAGAAAAACCAAAAAAAAAAAAAAAGATTTGTACGAGGGAAGTTACTAGGTGACTCCAGTATAAATCATTCCTCTGTGAAGAAATTATATGAAGCTTGAAAATAAGTATTCCCAACATCCAACAAAGTGGGCTGAAATAGTTTACAACAGTAATGTTCATACTCGTCCAAGAGTATATTGTTGAACTTGGTGTGCATTCTATTTATTGTAATGACTGAGATGAGAATAACTGAGGCTTCAAACACAAAGTCACCAACGTATGCTCACTGAAAAAAGTAAAAGGAAATTTGAAACATTTTTATACTACAAAAATGAGTGTCATTTTATCTAATGATTATTTTTCCTAAAATCTTTTAAATTACAAATGTAAGTGTTCTGGCAACCACAAATTTTATTGCCTATCTTTTTTTTATTGACTGGGAATATAAAACTTTGAAGTTCATAGAAATTTTATTTTTCATCTTATGACAGAGATTGCTCAAAAGAAAATATAATTATGTTTTGAAAATAGAAAAGTTAATAAATCCTTTAGAAATTGATCAGTGATCAGCAGCGCAATGTACAAGACAGGAGAAACATTTCTTAACCGACTTATAGAACGTTATATCAATAGTTTATTCTATAGCAGAGATATTTTAGTAAAATTGTCCTACATGAGGCCATATTTTCATTATTAGAATTCCCAAGTGAAAGAATAGGATCAGAGAGGAATAACTGGGTAAAAGAAATTTTAGTATATTAGGTAGTTTTTTATTAACTTAAAATTTTAATAATACACACCATTTCTGAAGTGTTTTCTATTTGCCAGACACACTGCTAAAGGGCCGGGGATATAGCTCAGTGGCACAGCACCCGCCTGGCAAGTACAAGGTCCTGAGTTTGATTCCCAGTACAAAAAAAAATAAATAAATAAACAACAACAACAAAAAACCCAACCCAGACACAGTGCTAAGTGCTCCATATGCTGTATACCAGGCTTTGTGTCAAATGCTTCTTAGTTAAAAATCACAGAGACCCTGTAGGGTTGGTGCAGTTAATGCTATGCCCATTTTGTAGTGAGGAGATAGACTATACCAAATGTTATAACACATTGACTTGCACCTGTATTTTTCCTACCTCCAAAATCTGTACATATATGCAGTGTTTTAGAAATTGAGCAATAAAATCCCTTAGTTGTTAAGAGCAAACAAATTCTGAGGCCAAAAGGAGTGAAAATTTACCAAAATTTACAGTGAACCTGATGCCAAATACTAAAGATATACATTTATTTCTACAATAAATCATCACTAAGATTAAATTATGTTGAGCAGTCTGCTTTTCCATAAATTGTACAAAAACTGTTTGGAGCTAAAGTATCTAGGGTCCTTTTTGACCTACAAGTTTAGAAACCGGAAGCTCTACATTAGAATCTTTGAAATAGGTGACCATTGTGATTACCTAATAATTGTAAGTGCAGGGATGCAGGAGCCTGCTTAGGGGTGCTGTCTGGGGCTCTTCTAACTCAGAGCCGTATCACAGAAATACATGGGAGCACTTCATATTGGTCACATATTGAGCAGGCCGTTTCCTAGGTAAAAACTTCAGTATGTAAAATTTTCTCTCTCTGCAAGTTAAAAGAGTGGTACTTGAATAAGTGATACTAAACGGTGCTATGTGGACCTAGTTGTTTGGGAATCTCTGAAAGGGATTCATTCAAGTAAGTTTTACTAGAATGATAATGCTATACTTCCTGAAAATATTAACAGGCATCAACCTCAGAGATATAACATCTAGGGTAATTCAGCAAAGGTGTGATTTGTACATCAACATGTACACTGCAGGCTTTCAGAAGAATATAAAGTCCAAGTGCTATAATTGTGTCAGGAAGTAGGGCCAAATGGTGAAGGGAGAAGTTTGCTTCTCCTCCTTCAGGAAGCTTTCCAGGTTAGGGCTTGAGTTATCAAGTTTGGTTAGCTTATTCTTGTCCTACAAGTTGCATCCTCCTTTGAGATTCCTTACAAGTAAAACTAGCCATGTTGCAGACTGGTGATGGTTTTTATCCATCCTAATACACTTGCAGAGGAGCTTCTCTCTGACAGCTGGCTGTTGCTAGGCTAATGGACTGCCTGAGTTTATGGACATAAATGGTCTGTGGTTAGCTCATCGGTTTTGGCTTAGCATCCTCCTGTAAAAAACCCTTTCACTTTTTAAAAGTCTCAATCAGTGGTTTTGGCATTGACTTGGTCTATTTTTTGACCCTAAACATTGATTCCAGCACCTGGAATGTAGAGATTTTCAGTTATGTAGTGTTATTATTATTAGATTATTTATCTTCAGTCATACTGTGGGGAAGTTTTATGTTTGTTATGTTCCTTCACACGGGAAAAAGATACTTTCTTCAATTGGGCAGCATAAAAGAAACACCATCATTTTGAATATTAGGAAATGAAAATATCAATGATTTTCTAGAAATTATTTACATGTTAGGATAATAAAAAGTGGAAAAAAACTTTGAAAACAACCATGATCTTTACTTTTCTTTTTTTTTTGCCTTTTTGAAACAGGGTCTCGCTGTGCAGTTCAGGCTGGCCTCGAACTCCCAATGATCCTCCTGCCTCAGCCTCTCAAGTGCTGGGGTTACAGGCATGTGCCACTGCGTCCAGCATACATTCGTTATTTATTTTTGTTTCTTAATATATTTTTACCTATTTACTGGGTTATTCCTTTGGATTATTCATTTTGTCTGAGCAAACCTATTCCTTAATATGTTCACGTTTGTTTTACTTTTTTTTTTTTTTTGTATTGGGAATTGAACTCAGGACCTTGCGCTTGCCAGGTAGGCACTTGTGCGACTCAGCTATATCCCCGGCCCCTTAATATCCTCATCAATCCAAATTGTTTATAATTTTCAACAGGCTAGCAACATCCTGGCAAGCCATGCTCAAAGCCTTAGCAATATCTTTGACCAGTTTCTCAAGTTTTGTTCAAATTATTCAAAATTCAGTGAAACTTAATCATTTATCCTTTAAATAACTTGTGTATTCATTATTAACCCTTGCTTTTTCAGTGCCATGTCACAATCTTGGTCCTTTCCCTCAGCAAATCTTTTGTTAATAATATTTCTTCTTTGATTCCCTTCAGTGATAATCCTTAAAACTGCTAATAAATTCCTTGACCACAGGAAATCCACGTATTTCCATGAGTTTAGAGGCTATTAAGTAGGACTGGGGATAAGCGCAAGGTCCTGAGTTCAATTCTGGTACCAATAAAATAAAATAAAATAAAATAAATTAAAAAGAAAAAGACTATTAAGTGACATTTGTTTAATACAAAAAAAAAAAAAAAGGTAAAAGTATAGCTGAAAGGTTAAGGTAAATCCTGCCCCAGAAGTACTGTAGGGGAAGGCTGAGGCATGGCAATGTGGCAGAGCACTTACGCACAACCCGCCAACGAAGGAGCCTTGTTAACTGCGGGTGCAGCCCGGAAGCGCTGGGGCTGAGGTGGGATCCAGCCAAGCCCCGCACCCAGTACCGGTCATCTGACTGAGAACACACCAAACCTAGCACCAGATAAAAATCTAGCACAAAGCCAATTAATTGATTGGGACAAATAAGAACCTGGAAAGCACCCACCACTATACCTATTCGTCTTTTTTTGTGCCGTTTTGTTTTGTGGCAAAACCGCATACTTTTTAGTGTTCTTAGTTTCTTGCCCGGCCACGTTAATCCATCCTCTGGGCATTTTGGGTTTTGTTTTCTTTGTGGTCACCTTTGCCTTCCAAACTGGAAGAGTGCCCTACCTATCTTTTCGTAGAGTCAGCTTCACTTGATTGCCAGTAGTGTGGGACTTCACATCGTGTACAGAAATGAAGTAGACTGTGAAAAGTAACCACTTTGTTCTCAGCAGCTGGCATGTGAGCGCCAAGTGTCCAAGGGATGCATCCAATGCGTGTAGTTAAGAAAACACTCCCTGAATGTGGAGTTCCCCGAACAGGTATGGAAAACAAGGCGAAACAAAAAGGCAAAAATGCTATGAATGGTAAGAAGGCAGTAATGGTAAGAACCCGATACTTGTACTGAACTTATTATTTTTCTTCTTTTTTTGACTTCGAGAAAGGAGGAGAGGAAGTTAAAGGTAGAGCAACATATGCAGGAGGCTGAACAGAAGGCTGTGGGTTGGAAACTCAACCAAGCTTGATGCAAATGACAAAAGCACTTTAAAAACACATATGTCAAATACTCTTGTAATTCTTTGGTGATTCTGTAATGTTGTAGATTTTTTCTAGCATTGCCATCACCTTAACCTGTTAGCATACCCTGTAACACCAAGGTATGCGTGAGTAAAGTTAATTTTGGGAAAACCATGTAGAAATGATGTCTGGGTTGTCTGGTGTGAAATGAGGAAGCATATGTGAAACCTCAAGATGGTTGTTAGTCGAAAGAGTAGACAAATGTGCTTGATGCAGATGTAACCAAGAAAGCTACCTCCCCTCTTTCCTAGCTGCCATTGATAGAGTTAAATGTTTCCTTCGTCTCTGCATAAAGATCCTTATCGGCAAAGACCTTGACTTTGATCTTTTTATACTCCTTGCATTGTCAATAGAATATGAAACTCATATTATACATTCAAAAAACATCAATTTGAAACTTTGACCATTGTATTTGACACAGAAAAATACTTCCAATATACAATGTGCCTGAAGTTTAGTTTGATTTTATCAAACAAATTTGCCATAATGTGTAATGCTAAAGATTAATCTCTAGTATTGCCTACTATATAATTGAGCTTTATTCACAATTAATATTGTCACTTGCTGGTAAAACTTAATAGACTATCTGTGAACAACTGAATATGAATATACATAAGACGCTATAGTGACTAATGGTTTTGATGTTTTATATGGGAAGAAAAAGACATTTACATTGTGAACAATTTAGACAATTTTGTGTGAGTGCGTGTGTGTGTGTGAAAGCGTTTCAAATCCTGTTTCTTACTTTTGCAGATATAAATATATTTGACTTTCCATCCAAGAAGGCATTGAATTTCTAGTTTCTCCCTATGAATTTGTCCCCTTCCACCCTATTTTCAAATGGTCAATTATTTGATTTCATTTCATTTTAGCAATAACTTACTAACCCGTAGTAAAAGGGCACTAATGCACAGTACTAAATCTCTGTTTCCCACTGAACTAGCTAAGCACCCATGTGAACTCTCTTCCAAATGACTGCATGTGATAGTTTCCCCAATTATTTCACTAACACCAAGCATATGCTCTCAGTTCAGCTGCTGGTATCAGTTTATTTGCTGTTCATTACCCACTAGGAAGATTCACATACTTCAGGTTATCTTATACTACACTTCATATGCAGGCACTAGTTTCTTTGTGGGGATAATTAATGGTAGCTGGCACAACAGACATCCTGAAATCTCAGTGCCAATATAACAAAAATTTAATATTGTTCACATTGCATGTCCAGAAAGAGTTGGTGGACAGTAGGTAGGGAAATTGCTATTTTTTAGTCACTCAAAATAATCCACCCTAATAGTAACTCCCCCAGTTTATAGTTACCCCTGGTCATCCTAAATAGTTAATTGCCCTTTACAGGAGGAAAGGACTGGAGGGGCATGCCAATTCTTAACTCCTCAAGCCTTGATTTAAGAATATTACTTCCACTCATGAATCATCTGCTTTAATTAGTGACTAAGCTGTAACCTAATTGTGTCAGTCAACTTTCTCTGACTGTAACAAGTGCATGAGATAATCAAGTTATAAAGATAAAGGGTTATCTGCCTCACAGTTGTGGAGGTTCCATTCCATGACCAACTGTTACTTTTACTCTGGCCTTTGGTGAAGAAGCGCATCATGGTGGGGAGCCCATGAGAGTAAGGTCTCTAACCTAATGATGGCCGAGAAGCAAAAGGGGTGTGACTGTGGTCCTAAAATCCCTTTCAAGGTCACATTCTCCTATGACCTAAAGCCTCTCACTAGGTGCCACCTCTTACAGATTCCACCCAGTGTGTCCACCTGGGGACCAAACCTTTCACACATAGGCCTTGGGGGGGAACATTCCAAATCCAAGCTGTGGCATGAATTACAAAAAGGGTCAGGAAACACAAGGGGCGTGAGAAATAGCTGGAGAGCCCTGTCTTTGCCCCTGGCAGCTAATGTACTGTAAGAAGATGACTAGGCATTAGTCAAGAATTTTCTGCATGAAAGCATCTGGTAGTTATTAGTTCTGCTCAAAAAATATTCCCAGTTCACTTTCCCTGAAGTGTACTTCCCTGTGTTTCCCGGGAGTTGGAGTGGTCCTGTGCTTCCGCCATTGCTTTAGGCAATTAAATGTTGGACTCTCTAACTGCTGGACTCTTCAAGCCTAGCATCCAGAATGTGTGTACTATTTTCCCATCTGCCTCAAAGCCCAGCAGTGTTTCACTGCCCCGTTAGCCTGGATACCCAAGTGAGCATGACAGTAGCAATCCAGCCAAATTACAGTAGATACGTGATAAGAATGCAAAATAAGTCATAGCTTTAGATCACGAGACTTGGGTGGTTGTTTATTACTGAAATGTATTCCACTCGATTCTGATATTT